AGTTGTGAGGTTCTAATTGAGTGAGAGAGGGGGGGGGGGGGGGGGGATGGTACCTTCGTCTGCTTCGATTGTTTCACCGGGTAGTACTTGTTCTTCGTCCGAATATTCAGGGTCTGAGATTGCTTCTGGGTTCACGAGCTGTGCTTTCTTTTCTATGCGTAGCTTGCCGTCCCAGCCACTGCTGCTTTTGGGGGTGATGCTGCCTTTAGTGGCATCGTGGTGGCCGGCCGAATCTTCTTCTTTGAGGGTGATGTGGGTTGTGCCAGTTTCTCCGTGTTCTGGTGATGACATTGTGGAAATGTGTTGAGTAGTTTGGTGGTTTGGATGTGGTGGAGAAGGCAGGGGGAGCTGTATTGTTCAGCCCATGGTCTGGTGGTGTTTGGAAATGCGCGGATGGCGAGGAAGTGCCACTGCTGACAGATGTGGGGTGGGGCACTTTTGATGGAGGGGTATGCTCCACTTATACACCTACACAACCTGATTTCACTTGACAGAATATTAATATCTCATAGGAAGTAATTGCATTGACATTGCAAAATAAATACAATCTACCATAATCATCAACAAGCACCCATCTCTCATAACAGCATGGACCTACTACACAACTCTTCAAAGACCAAAGAGCTCATTAAGGGCTTGCTCGATTGAATTAAAAGAACAGCAATGAAGTATTCCAGGTTTACAGGTTTAGCCAGCGAGCCCAGAGAACTATCATAATCCAGGACAGGGCATCTTCTCTCGGACTAAGTTCGGCCTAAGGACTCTATGAACAAAGTAGCCGAAAACATCCAAGACAAGATCTCGACAGGTATGTTTTATTAATCTACGAGTACTCCTTGAATATTCAGAGTGATGCTGATTTACACCTTTCCAGCCTAGGCTCCGAAGTGTCAAAAAGCAGATTATTTCCAGGACTCCTGGCATACACTCGATTTTGAGTCTCCTCGACTGCAGTGGTTCACTGGTCTTTAGACATTTATAACTCGAAAAGCGTTGTTTCATAATACCATGCATTAGGTCTTGTATCTATAGACCCACCCTCTCTGGATGCGCTGCAGTCTCGTTTGTGTTTCTTCGTCCCATACATCGAGACCCTCACAACTATATTTGGAGTTCTTATAGGGTAGTCTCTCCATGTGTTGCTGGTCTTCTGTGTAGTCCTAAGGACTAGTGAGGGACAAGAAGTTCTTGTGCCTGGATGCATTTCTATACCGATAGAGCATTGGCGGAGCATATTGGCTAGGAACCAGAGCCAATTGTACGACTCCAATCCATCTCCACCTTTGTTTTCATCGTGATCTAAGAGCGGAAAGCATATAGTGTTCACATCGGTGATTGGGATAGACTTGGACCTAAAGGCCTTCTCTTTACAGAGATGTTCCTTGTAAGATTCCCTTGCTGATTCGGCGCCTTCGTCTTGCTCAACTGGGCTCTCGGCTTGGTAGGCGCAGATGGACTGCATCAACCGATTTGATTGAGCTGTCATTCGACGAAATGCATTCTGGGGTTTGAATTCCGCTTCATTGGAATCATCGGGATGATCAGAATCATCGTAAGCAAAACTCTCAACAAATCGAGTTTGTAGACGTATTTGTCGTCTACCATCCAATTTCTCCATGGCGTCTCTGATCTCTATAAGTACATATTTCCGCTTGACGTGTTTGTTGGAGAACACCATGTAGGGATCTCCATATGTCTCCGTCATCTCATAGAGCATGGATCGACAGACAAGGAAGTTGAGTAGCTTCCCGATATTATCAAAGTCAATGTAACCTGCTAGCGTTCACAGAGTAGTAGATGCAAAAATAAGTATACCTGTGTCTTGATTCATACATTCTGGTTGACTTGTCGAATGTTGAAAGGGGGGTGGAGACTCAGGAGAGCAGAAGGTAAAGACATAGGTTATATACTGTAAAGATATGGGGTTGGCTAGCTGAGAGTTGGTCGATGAGAAAGTTGAATGAGGGGAGGAGCGAGGGAAGTTTGCTCCGCTTTAATTGAAGTATGAGGGCATTGTGTAGAGTTGTTAAGATAGATAGACAAGGAGGCAGTAAGGAAAGGAGTGCTAGAAAACAAAAGTAAAAAGGGTCTTGAAAATAAAAGTCCAGAATTTACCCAGTGGGAAGAAGGATTAAATGCGACTTCGCTGCACTTTGCACCGACGGGGGCGAAGTGATGATAGTCAAGAGGGTATACAATGTTCTAAAAACGCTGTTGCACTCTGGGATCTTCTGAAACGTATCCTCTATCTTCCCATTCCTGCCAAGAACATTCCGCTCAGCTGGTACAAGCGGGCATAGTATATTCCTTTAGACGCCAACGCACAGCAATGCCCATCCTAAACTCCCCCGCAAACTCGTCCATTCCATTCCAACAATTATCAAATCTGTCGCGACACCACAGGACCTTGGCTCTTCCACTGAAACCTCCTCAACTTGACCACCATCGATCTCGCATCAAAATCCTGCACCTGCGGATCCCACGCTGCGTTCACGTCAAAGACTAAATACGCCTTTGGTGCTTCTAGTTCCACCATTCCTGAGACGAGGATGCTGCCGCGAGGTGGGTAATTTGCAGTTGGGTGCCAGGTTTGCAGGAATTTACCCTTGAATGCCATGATGGCGTGGTTGAAATGCTGATGTAAGGCCACAGCTACGCGTGTTCCTGGCCAAATCTCCGTTTCTTGAGTTGTCTTCTCCTCGGGCTGTTCTGACAATCTTGTCTTCGCGGCGGTGGAAATCTTGATCATAGCCTTCGGACTGCTTGTAGTCTCCCCTTCAGCCTGGGCGGGTGGTCCATCCTTATTTGGAAGCGAGCCTTTCATCATTTGTTGTTGTTTTTGTAATAGTTGTTCGATGGATGGAGCGGATGGTGTTGAGCGGATGCCGAGCATGGATGCGATACGTTTCGTGTCGTCGACGATGAGGACTTTAGTGAAATTCCAGAAAGAGAGCGCAAGGGCTGATGGCCATAGTACATGCCGGAGTCTGTAGACGGTAAGAGAGTCGACGGGTTGGGTAGTCCAGGAGATAGCTTCGTCGGATATCTCGATGCTGTACACATAGTCCGTCAGTTCTTCTCTTCAAGGATATTCCAAGGGGCAGCGTACCCAGATCTCTCGAACTCAGGTGGTGGGTAATGAGGAAAATCCACATCTAGCCAACACCGCCTTTGCGTCAGCTCTTTCCCACACTTCCTCGTTATGATAGGATGCAGCTCTGCAATTCGTTTCACACGCCGTGCAAGCTCGTCTATAAAATGTCAGAAAATCCTTTCACATAGCAACCTTTGTCTGCCACCTGCCACCCACCTCGCACTTTAGTCTGCCCTGTCTTGTCTTTGCTGAACTTAATAAACTCCTGCCATTCCGGATCACTCCCCCGATACGGTTTCCGCCTCGTCTCCTTGACGGTCCCAGGAAATGGTATGAATAATGGATCGTCAACCTCTCCGGCTACCTCCGCTGGCATCCCTTCCATTGCTTCCATCGCCGCTTTGTCGATAGGATCCAGAACCATGCGACCGTAGATATCGTAACATATGTAGGAAGTAATGAAGTAGAAGGCAAGCATTCTTTAGAGCATTAGTTAGCATATCACCATTGTTGAAGTCTTCAAAACATACTTTGGCCTGAATGCTTGCTTTCTGAAGCGGACTTTCTGCACATTCATTGCCTGTCCCGCTTGCTTCTTTGCCTCGAGGTTCAAGGGCAATCTACTCATGGAGAATATGCCCCTCATGGTTCTGGTATGGCGGAACATGGTGAACAGAGCAGGGGTTGAGAGGGCTCGCCTTCGGGCTGGCGAGCCTCGGGGGGCGAAAGAGGTTCTCGTGTTATGGACTATATCGAAGCAGTTGCGCAGGTGGATCTTGGTGTCATAAAGGTGATTTCATGGAAGCATACTTGTCAGGCGTGGTGACCAGAGCCTTCTATAAACTCGGATACTGTATAATAATCTAGACTTGGCTTGGCTTAGGACTCTCGAGGTGAAGGGTTATACGGCGGACTATGTGATCCGGCGTTTGCAAATTTCTTATTAGTTGTATCTTCCAAATATGAAGTTATTATGCAAAAGATCTAAGGTGTTATAGAATAACGTATAACGAGTATCAGATTATGTAAATGTCTCCTCTGGTAAATAATGGAAAGTTCAACAACTATTTCACAGGAAGTACCTGAAGGTACCTAGGTATTCATATCAACCTGGTGAACCTCATTTAAGAGTATTTAGGTATCTCGACGCTATGGACTGCCGTATATTTGAGTTAAACCTTATTTCCAAAACCACGCTAGAGCGTTATCAGCGAGCTTCAACAAGCATCATATCACCACCTCAAGCTTCCTTCAGGTATAGTACGGCGTCAACGTCTCAGTCTCAGTAACCAGCAATCATGAGACTTTCAGCGACCTTACTGCCAGCCCTGCTTGGCGCAGCTTCCGCAGCATCAGAACCCGCCAGCGTCTACATATTGCAAGGCTCTGAATCACCCTCCTCGAATCCTCCAACCCTCACTCCAGAACAAGCACGACTCGTCCTCGCTCAACGTCTAAGCATATCACAATATCACGGGCTTGGAGATGTCAGCGACAGTACACTGTCATATATAAACAGATTTAGTGGACAACAAATAGAATCGCTGTTTGGAGACGTTCCTCCGCAAGAACTGGCAGCGGAGCTTGTGCTGGTTGTAGAAGGAGTGTCGAAGACGCATTTAAAGACTTGGGAGTCACTCAAGCCAGCCTTCACTATCTCTGATCCTCCATCCCCGCCCGCGAATAAGAAGTTGGTGTCAGATTTAAACACACAAGCAGGGGAGAAAGAAAATTGCGCTCTTGAGGATGCCATCAACCCGTATGAAATCAAGTGTTGGAATGGGAAATCGAAGGTTATACATTTTGATCTAGCTAGAAAGGTAAGAATTTTTGGAAAAGTGTGCGAGATTTACCTACTGATATGGAACAATAGGGCTCTCAAATGGAGGCTTTGATGGCTGCTAGAGAGAGGTTGATCAGGTGGGCTAATTGGGGAGATATGAACACCGTCATTGTCCTCATGCCAGAGTCATCTCGATCAACGAAGAAGGTTTCTTCCAAGCCATATGGATCCTATGAAGTCCCCTCCCAAGTGCGTCTTAATGCCAGACAAGTCGAAGAGATTATGTCAGAGAGTGCAGCTGTGGGTAAGTCGACTGTCCTTTATATTATCTCCCCAGGAATATTGCACATACTTCTGATGCATAATGCTAATTGACTCATTCTCCAGCTTCATCCCCACCAAAACCTCACCTCTTCCAATCCTCGAATTCTTCCAACTCCTCGGGACCTATCGTAGGCATCCCACCCGTTTGCCACTCCTCCAACGACACCTGCACGACCGCAACAAACTTCTGCTCCGGCCGTGGCGCTTGCTTCCAGAAGTCTGCCACATGCTTTACATGCGGTTGTCGTGCCCAAAATGAGACTTTCGCATACGGTAACGACGGTGAGAAGCGGGGCTACAGACTTTCTTATTACGGGGGAGCTGCGTGCCAGAAGAAGGATGTCAGCACATCGTTTTGGCTCATTGCTACATCCAGCATTGTTATGATGGGGCTCGTGGGATGGGCTATCGGGATGATATTCAGTATTGGAGAGGAGAAGCTTCCCGGGGTTATTGGGGCTGGTGTTTCATCTAATAGGGGCCCAAAATAGGTGCAGTTAGGTAATTGTTGTACGATTTTCAGGAGTCAACAGAGAATTGTTGCTCTTTTCTGGGGCGGCGTTTAAATGTGTACTTACCACAGTCGATGAAAGTGTGTAGAAATTAGGACAATGGTAGTATAGGTCTCTCCGACCCTCTTCAGGTCCTACGCAGCATCTTGGATTTATGGATTACGCCAAGCGGCAACTCTCTTCACGATACCTATCCTCATTGATTTGAACGTTGACGCCAGTTTGGAGTTCTTGAAGCTCGTTGTGCCGAAGTGAATGGCGGAGATGAATAGGGGGATGCGGGCGCTTACTTTTCTTGCTAACATAGAATCTGGACCATCAGGCAAGTACTTGCTCCAAGGGATAAACATCGCGCGCATGTACTTTCTCCGTTCCAGCATTCTCTTAATCGGCTCTTTGCACCATAATGATGTTGTATAAAGACAGCAAGCAACCTCGCAATGAATGCAATGTTCAAAGCATAGCAGCATGAAATGACGAAGCGTTGATGTGGGCCAGTTGGTCCATTTGTGAGGACTTTCGTTTGCAGCAATGCTAATTTCCTTGCTATTGCCTTAAGCATGCTTTCTTGCGTCTGGTCTATACTGCTATACCGTACTTAGCAAAGTTATCTATCTTGCTTGAAATACACGTATGTAGTTGCTGTCAAGGGCTATGTTGTTGTTAATGATGCCCACTAATTTTCACTATTCTTCTTCCTACGTCTTGCTTCTCCTTATCCTCTACGTAGCGGGAGATGCCCACCAACATTCACTGTTCTTCCCGCGTCTTGCTTTCATTCACTATTCTTCCCGCCGCTTCTTTCTTTCCTCTACTTTCTTTTCTCTACTTAAAGGGAGACGCACCCTCCCTCCCTTCTTTCGAAAAATCAAGCATCCCTCAACTTACCAACCCCAAAACATCCATTTCATTCCTATCTATTTAACCCCCTTTTCAACAGCAATATGAAGATCCATTCTTGATTGACTGCCGACCGAACCGCATCTGATGCACTTTCATGCAAGCTTCTCGGATTCCTCTTTCCTTGATTAGGCCCGATCGCCATCCAAAGTCCATCCAAAATCCATCCAAACACATCGCATTTACCTCTTACTTATCTACGCATCGACTACCCGATCGAACCTTTACGTTTAGCTCCCCGCTCCAACTTCGTCTACATAGCACAGGAGGATGGCCATCAAGTGAGTATGTTCCATGCAAGGATGAGACATCGCTGACCGATAAATAGATACATCCGAGGGGGGGTATTGAAGGAAAGTCCCACCACCGATGTGTACTATGCATACACGCCCATAGTCCTTTCATATCGGATCAAACTGGCGTCCAATGCGAAAGGAACCAAGTTTCAATCAGGGGTTAATCCCAGAGAAGACAGCATCCTATGGAGGAACTCCCTGTTCGGGCAATGGTCTCATTTGGCAAATCTCGAAACACAAAAGGCCAAGGAGGGTGTCTCGATGACCACACTGGATGCATTTCGAAGGGATGTTCTGATGAGAGCTTGGAGCAGGGAGCAAGAACCACAGGATCAGATTGACTTCGATAAACTCCCCAAGACGGGATCCAAGCACAAAGCTCTATCGGATGCAAGCACCCTATTGAAATACAAACCAGGAAAACAGAAGAAGTTTGCGCGCTCGTCATCTGACCACAAAATTGTTTTAAAGCAAAACACTCCATCCGATAAAAAGGCACTCTACTTCCCTGAATCGGCAATTTTAATCGACACCAGTCACATCAGGATTCATGAGCTAGGCTTAGGCTCCATCAAAGCAGCTGCAGATATTCTCACCAGATTCTGCAATGGGGAGCTGGACCCATCGGTCAATTTAAGAGCACCCGATGGAACAAGGTATCCTGCTATTGATTTCATTGAAGCTGCATTTCTCCAAGCCGGCTACAGGATCAATACTGCCAGCGCGAAGCGAGCGTGGAAGGATATTGGCAAGGGGAATATTGTTTCAGTGGTAGAATCACCCACCTGGAAGTTCAGTCCACCGATCCGATATCGTGGTACCTCAAAAAATGCCGTCGATGATCTGTTTGGTGCCAACGTAACGGCCGTTGACGGAACGCCGAAAGGATTGGCGCCAGGAGACTCCTCGGGTGGCCGTGGAGAGATTGGAGAGGCCTCTAATGATCGACCACGGGCAAGAGCGCTAGACAAGAAGGCATCAGACGACCGACCACGCCAGAGAGTGCCAGACGAGAAGACATCAGAGGACCGACCACGCCAGAGAGTGCCAGACGAGAAGGCGTCATCTACTGGCCATTCTCATTCGGAGGAGCGAGGTGGAGCGAAGAGGCAAAAGATCAAGCAAGTAGTATACGCTGTTGGTAATGTAAGTTCACTTGTCGGATGTAAATCATTCATCGCTGATTATATATAGTTTGCGTTCGCAGACCCTTCAGTTTACAAAAAGTTGTCAAACGACCAATCGCTCAATGCGGGAACTCGGGGTATAATGGGATATCTAAGCAGATTCGTCCAGTTGCAGCTGGATCTACAAGAGGAATCTGCAATCCGAGTAGCAAAGCGCCAACGAACAGTCTAGCTTCTGCATCTACTTCTTGATCTGATCATATGGGTTCATATTCTTTATTTTACTTTCACCGGACAAGTCAATAGGCGCTATTAGTTTACAACCTGCATATTTATTTAGTTCTTTCTTCAATTTACGATTTGATTGCTCCTACTATATTACTAGTTGCTATAGACTTGACTTTGACTATGTCCTCCATGATTCCATGATTCCATGCGTCACAGGCTGGTGACATGCTAAAGCATTACGTGTTCACTTGACATTCTAGACCTCGCCACAAAACTTAAAAACCCATAGGTACCCGCGGGGAGCTATGGGTAATATCATATGATTAATAATAGTATAAATATAAATTTACTTCCTTATTTATATAAGAAGCTAGGTCACATGACTAGCTAGTCTCTATAGTTTCCATGGCTAGCTTTTCTATATCTAGCTTCTATAGCCAGCTTATTTCCCGCCTATTTCTATAGTATACTAATATTTTTACTAATATCTATACTAATTATTATTATTAAATCATGTGATATTACCCATGGCTCCCCGCGGTTATTCATAGTTCGGGTCATATATTAGTAAGAACCTATAGGGTGGATCGGGTCCCTCATAGCTTGGGCCTGGGTCCTAAATCAGTACCTATGAGGACCTATGGCGAGGTCTATGACCTTCCAATATACACATACCCTGTATCAGCCATGCCCCCCGCGGCCCTACGAAAGCTCCGGGGCATTGGTCCTGGTAGTTGCCAGCTGACGTGGTCTAAGCGGTTCTAAAAACCATACTATCTAAGTGTTTTAGGAGTAGAAGTAGAGTTGATGGCCACCCTTATGTGTTATGTAGACTATTCTTCTGATATGATCCAACCTAGTGCATTGGAGACGAAGTTGGAGCGGGGAGCTAAGTTGATGGATGCTCAATTTTCCAAAGAAGGGAGGGTGCGTCTCCCTCTAAGTAGAGGAAAGAAAGAAGCAGGAAGAATAGTAAATATTAGTAGGCGTCTCTCTCTTAGTAGAGTATGAAGAGAAACAAGGCATAGGAAAGAGGATAGTTATTATATGTTTAAGTAAACTAGGGTTTAATGCGAAGAATTAAATTATAGCAAACGTGAGAAACTTTAAAGCCTGGAATAAGCTGCAAATATCAGTATGATCTCAATACTACAAGCGGGTGATGATAATAGATACCAGCGATGGGAATTAATAGCAAAACCCACTTGACTATAACCCGCGGACGTGAATTAATTCAAAAATGCAATTGGCAGCTCTCATGGAGTTCTACGTAGGTATATAACATTAATTTATTAATCTTCATTGCATGTCTCCAGGTTTTGTCATGCAGCGTGGACCATAGCGGAGTCTTCCTCCAAACTTCGTCCCGTGACTAATAACTTCTTGCTGGAGGAAGTGCAAAGATGGTTCTTGGCGAGACGTGTATTATTGCGTCCCTACTTTATTACATCCTTCAAGTCTGGTATAAACACAAATTCTGCCCGTTGGTAGAAGATTCAAAGCCTCAGAACGTAGCCAATCCGAGGACGGCGGGGTCAAGGCGTATGAAACAAGCCTAAGAAATTGCATTGGATCTGATGCGTAAAGAAAGAAAGGAGTGAGCGATTAAACAGACAAGTCTGGAGTTTAACGCCGAAGTTGTTAATATAAATAATGTTCTTGAGATTTTCTGGAAATCGTTAGCAATAGCAAGAAGCCACAACGGCGCTTATTATAAAATAATAAATGTAATAAAGCAATCACTTTGTAATTGTTAGTATATATATATCTCGTGTACCACGTGACCTTAATCCCGATGACTAGGCAGCGACGAGGCCTTCACCTCATCGCTGCAACCTTAATTAGACACTCTTCTACACCTAGAAATGCAACCATGAAACCACATACAGATTACTAGGCCGACCTAGTGTAGTAGTGAAACTAATAGTAATACTAATAACGATTCTTATATTCTAATATCCACTAGTATTTTAATAAGTCTAAAAGTTAAATACTATGCTTCCGTATAGAAAGTATTCTATAATAAGGTATAGACTTAGATATAAATAAACAAATTAATGCAAATCGGACAGATGGCCGAGTTGGTTATGGCGCCAGGTTAAGGTTACTTAACATTGCTTCCTGGTCACTTTATGTGTAAGTTTAGGCTCTTCTGGTATTTCTCCTATTCGCACTTTATTAATAGTAGTAGGGCGTGGGTTCGAATCCCACTCTGTTCATCAGTCATGTGACTTTATTTTTTGTATTTTTGTTTTTCCTTCGCTTAAACAACTCTCCCTTTTTTTTGTGTTTACCTTTAATTAAGCGAGCCACTTCCCCTCGTTCAAGGATCTCTCGACAACGCTTTAGAGGCCCTCTCTTCAACACCGCAACTTCACATCTACAAATTCTCCCCCCTCTCTTCTTTGTGCAGCCCACAAAACAGGCA